CTTCTTTTTGCCGTAGAGGTAGATTGTGAGGAGAAAGTTGCCAATATTTTTTGGGCAGACAGTAGGATGCGTGAAAATTATGCACTTTTCGGAGACTCTGTCTCATTCGACACCACCTTCCGAACCAATAAACACTTCCGGCCATTGGGTATGTTGACCACTTATTTTCCTTATTTATTTGGACTCGCAAGCGGTTATGCATTGTTTTTAATACTAAGTCTTTTGCAGGGATGTTTGTAGGTTTCAATCATCACCGACAAACTTGTGTGTTTGGCGCTTGTTTGTTATATGACGAGACAACTCCTTCTTTTGAATGGTTGTTTGAAGCATTTAGTCGGTGCATGAAGATGAAACTCCCAGTGACCATATTCACATATCAGGACGCTGGTATGGCAGCTGCCCTTAGAAAGGAGTGACCTAATGTGTTTCATGCCCTCCGTACTAGACACATCTTGATGAATGCGAAGAAAAATCTTAAGAAGAACAAGAAATTTTGGCATAAGTTCCAAAATCATCTTGCTTATCTTTTTTACTACGTTGACAGCGAGGCCGAGTTTGATGAGGCATGGAGCAACATGGTTTCTGATTGTTTTCCCGGTAGTGAAACTATGGATGGTCACCAATTGATGCAATATCTGAAGAATTTTCGTCATCAATGGTGTTCCTTATATCTGAGAGATCAATTCACAGCGGAGATGTTGACAACGCAAGCCAGTGAGTCGTGCAATGCACAAGTGCGACTCTTCTTGAAACCGAAACATAATCTCGACGAGTTTTTCATCCACTTTACCTGGTACTGGATCATAATACTAGTTTGGTTTTTCTGGATATTACTTAGCACATTTGTGATATGTATAGACACTTATTCTGGTATTGTTATGTGATGGTGTGATATATGTTTTTGTTGTATGGATATTTGCTTTTTTTGTATATGGATATCAGTCTGGGTAATCAAAATTTTGGTTTTCTTCATACATTTTTCTGGATATTACTTAGCACCTTAGAGATATTCATAGACTCTTATTCTGGTATTTGTATATGATGGTGTGATATATGTTTGTGTTGTTTAGATATTTGCTCTGTTTGTATATGTTTGTGTTGCCCACTCATTTTCCTCATCAAGTATGACATTCCTTACTTTGTTGTATTTCCATTGAAGGAGACTGCCTGCAATAGATGCTCGCTGGTGCTCCACGTGCTTTGCCAAGTGCCAAGTTTCCTTGTATTCCGATGGAATGTGACCCGCCCAGTGCTCCATGAACATGCATGCGAACACTCCACAGTCATCGTTTCCATCTTGTTGAGGAACATCCGCAATTAAGAATTCCCAATCATGCAAGGGAGCATCGATGTTGTGCTTTGCAAGGAAAGTGGCCCCATACTCTAATATCAATTTCCCCATGGGACTGTGATCCACCTTGGCCACTGCTGGCACAGGGGAAAAAATCTGAAACATAGAACACATAATTATTTATCCACAAAACCCAAAAGAAAATCTCGACAGCCCAGACAAGTATCCAAACTAACATTTCATATATTCACAGGCAAATCTTCAAACAAATCAGTTATTCTCTTGGAAAAATATCCAATAAACCCAGACTAGTATCCAAAACTAACATTTCAGATATTCACAGGCAAATCTTCAAACAAATCAGTTATTCTCTCGGACAAATATCCAATAAACCCAGACTAGTATCCAAAACTAACATTTCAGATATTCACAGGCAAATCTTCAAACAAATCAGTTATTCTCTCGGACAAATATCCAATAAACCCATACTAGTATCCACAAAACGTATATCAGTATCAAGATAGAATAAGGATTCACTTACATATTCTAATTTGTACCATACAACACGTTTGAAGACTGGAACCCGCTGGGTCACTTCAATGACCCCATCGAGTCTCTCCTGGGACGGGGGCACATTCGTCTGAGCATTAAGTATGGCAAGTTGTTGTTTGTAAAGGAAAATAATAGCTAATTAGTTACTGGATATCTAAATATTGTAAGGTGTGTTTACAGCAAGTGTGAAGGCAAAGATAAGTCTGTTCTTGTCACCAGCAAGTGCTTTGTCGTTCAAGAAATGACCATAAGCCTCAACCACTTGGATATTGACCCACTCTAATCACTTCAATGTCAACATATGAAGACGGGCGAGTTTAATTGAAGGAGTGTGCACCACCAAGCCCTTCCCTCAGGGGTACTGAAGATGAACTCAACCATACGACGAGCAACTGGGTCAAGCTTTGTCGACACATCCTTCGACAAATAATATACTGATGAAGAATCATATGGGTTCTTTTTCGACCTCTCGAACTCTGGGGTCTTTAGTGTTGCAAGCCATTCCTCAAGTGTGTAGCTGTACAGATGGTCTTGTTCCTCGACAATCATATTCCTCTCATGCGTGATAATCACATATGGACTCCTCTCAGCGCTCTTACAAGCCGCTTCTACCAACTCCTCGTCTGTAGGCAACATTTCCATCTCTGCAAGTTGATCCAATGGCTCCACCACATCATGAGTAGTCGTCTGTAGAACTTCCTCCCTTGTAGGTGGGTCTTCTTCCTCGGCATTAGCAGTTGTAGTAGCCTCATGAGCTATATGGCTAAATTACACGTTTGGTCACTCGAATTATACAAATCTTTCATGTTTGCCACTCAAATTACTTTTCTTTCTTGTTTGCCACTAACTTTACGAATCGTTTCACCGTTAGTCACTGGCCGTTACACTCCGTTAAATTTGTCATATGTGGCAGTCAACTATAAAGTTTGACCGTTAACTAGATGACGTGGAAATTAAAAAATAAAATAAAAAAATTATTTGTCCACTCTACTATTTATCATATTACTTATGTAATAATAAATAAATAAATTATAAAAATAAATAATATGATTAATTTATTCTTCACTTCAAAGATCCGAAAGATGAGTTTGCCTTCCATGACTCTGTGACGGAAAAATGAGAAGGAATAAAAAAAGAACATCAACATTTTCTTCATGGCGGCCATTCATGGATTCACCATTATCATCGGCTTCCACATGAATACCTGTGCCGCTCTTTTGTTCCAGAGATTCCCTTCCGATCTTTAAAAGAGGCAGAATCTCACTCTGTCGATATGCTATGGACATCAAGGCTCGTTATCGCCGAGAGATCTAACCAACCGCTCCCGCAACAACCGGTCGCCGGGCGACGACAGAGACGACAGCGAATCGGCGATAGATGATCTACTAGATCGAATTGCCGAGACGGAGGTAATAATCAAACGCGCTGGGGATCGGGAAGCTGAGCAACCGGCAGCTGGAGGAGATGAAGCGATTCGGTAATGGCGATTCCATGAGCAACAAGAACGAGTTGCCTGTCTATTCTCCTCTCTCGCTTCTTGTTGTTTGAATTGACGGGTTTCGGGACTTAGAATCTGTAATTTGATCAGCTTGTAGTTGACTCTGTTTCTCGACAAGCAACCGCAACTCGACTCGCTACACCAGTTCCTCCCCTCCCCTTCCTTCCTGATCCACCAACCGTCGATCGTCTAATTGGCACCGCAAATCACGTTCAAGGCCACTGTCTTCCTCTGCGGCAGCGTCGCCATCGAGGCTTGCCTCTTGCACAGGATTGTCGACGCTCACACTTTCTTGTCGCCAGGGGAGACGAAAAGGTGTCCAGTGCTGTGCCTCCGACCGGATGGTCAGGGTAGAAGAAGATGAAGGCTTCTTCGCGGCGGAGGAGAGCATCTCGTTGGGCAAATCGACGGTGACCTTGATTCCGGATCCGACCAGAGATCGGAGCACGATCGAGTTGGTATCGAAAACTTTCACACAGCTTAAACCTTAGAATTTCAGCAGCTGACTACCTACGGGATGTTGTCGGCGATGCCTTAGTTCCACGAAAAATGCATATACTATTTGTTTTTTGTAATTTAATTAAATAAGCAATATGATAAATATATAAAAAGTAAGTGGAATGATGAGGTGGATAAATAAATTATTTTTTTTATTTTTTTTTTAATTTCCACGTCATCTAGTTAACGGTCAAACTTTATAGTTGACTGCCACATAGGACAAATTTAACGGAGTGTAACGGCCAGTGACTAACGGTGAAACGATCCGTAAAGTTAGTGGCAAACAAGAAAGAAAAGTAATTTGGGTGGCAAACATGAAAGATTTGTATAATTCGAGTGACCAAACGTGTAATTTAGCCTGAGCTATATGCATAATGTCCTCATAAGTTGTATCTGGGACTGTATAGTGTATCACCATAGGGACTGTCGGCTCCAACTTCGGCTCCCACACCTCCTCGTCCGGTGTCTCTACAGTCTTCTCTGCTTCATTCTCCACCACCTCAAATCTATTCTTCTCTTCAGGATCTTCTTCACATTTCTCTCCAGTATTCTCCACTTATGGCTCGACCTGGTCCTTCTCTAGAGGCTGCTCATCTATTTCCATTTTAGCTTCAGTATTCTCCACTTGGTCTTCCACCACCTCTGTTTTAAGGTGCTCTAGCACCTCCTCAACAATATTCTCCAAAGTTCTCTTTCCGGAATCCACGACCCTGAACCTGTCATGCTCTTTCCTCTTTTCTATCATATGTCCCAATTTTGTGGCAAAGTCCAGTAGTTTACCCAAATGCCGATCAATCCCAGCTCCCAGTACCTTAAGCTGGTAGACAAACGAAGAGTTTGCGCAAAATTAAAAACTACCAACACAAGTATCTTGTATAATATCCAAACTGCTCGTACAAGTATCCAACTTTGCCAGAATAATATCCACATATGATATAACAAACACAGATTTCAGTAAAATATCCAAATGCATAAAAATAATATCCAAACCTCACAAACAAGTATTCATAACCGAAAATCAAACAAACTGATATCCAAATGAAATCAACAAGTATCCCGGAACAAAAAGTTAAAATCCAAACAATATCCATTGCCATTCCAACATGGCAACTTAAGAAAAAGTACAACCCCCCAAAAAAGAACGAAAACAGTAGATCAAATTCACTCTTGCTGTCCCAAATTCTCGTCAATCGTTTGGACCTTGTCCCTTCGAGCCACCCACTTTTTAATCATGCTCTCAGTCATTTCCTTCAATCCCTTAAGCTACACATATGTTGTGAAATATTTAGGTTACTATATGCATCTAAGTCTACCAATGCACTATCTTAAATAGGGAGGAAAAGAACATTTTACCTGCTCTAGCTGAAGGGTAGTCAAATCTTCTATCTCCCACCATTCTGCTGTGGGCATCGGTGCATGAGCTGGAGGAGGAGCTGAACTGCTGGTCGCTGTTGCACTAGTACCCTCATTAGCCGCTGGCTGGAGCTGGTTGCGAGCAGCGATTTCTTCCCTACTCAGCAGATCGGAAGCTAGGTCATATCTTCCTCCGGTTAAGGGGATAGATGTGCTTGCCCTATCCACATTTTGCTTCCACCAAAAACCGGAAGCTAGGGATGGTCTTTGTGTGAAACCCGCGTAGGCTAAGGGAGTCCAGCAGATGCAGCTGTAAAAAAAATTTCAGTTAATAAATGTTAAGCGTCATTTCTAGCAATTTAATCAAGGAATATCGAGAGTCACCACAAAAATAATCCTATGTGACTAAAATGATATCCACAGACCATTTGAAGCTGATTTTTTGCAATTTCACCAACAAGCATCGAGATTCAAAACAAGTGTATCCTATGTGACTAAAATTATACCCAGATAACATTCTAACCAAGAAATATCATAATTCATAATAAATAGTATCCGAGCTAAACCAAAAAGTATCAAAAAAGGTTAGGACTTACTGTCAAGAAGTAGCAATCTCCGAGAACCCACACGCATGGCTTGTCTTTGGCCCTTGCAGCATGTTCTTTTTTCTTCTCAACAGTCAACTCTACCTTAAGTTCACGGGCGATAAAGGTACACCAGTCTTACACCCTAACATCCTCCATACTCCCACCTATGTATGGGGCAAAGTACAGCTTGCACCTCTGAGCAAATGTTGGCACAAGCAAAGAACCAGAGGCTAGCAACAAGAATTGCTTGACAGCCATTGCAACAGGTGGTCTAGGACCTTCGCCTGGAATCGCCAACTGCCGCAGAGCCTTGATAGAAACATTGCGGCTCCTGTTAGGAATCATGCTGATATCCTCGCTGAAACTGTCGAGCATCCCCCCCTCAGTGTACTTCAGATCAATCACAGCCCCACTGAGAGGAAGGCCGTACACATGTGCCACATCCTCAGGCGTGAACTCGAACACCTTCTTCGAGTCTCCTTCCCCGAAAACAAAAGTACTGGTTGAGATGTCATAAGCAACCATCAAGTCGTCCATGAAGAGTGGGAATTTTCGGCATTCGAAGGTCCAATAGGCCTCCGAATCCTGCCTTCTCGACTTCTTTCTTGCATGCTGCATAGTATGCAGCATCTTATTTCCATTAGCTTATCACTTTGAATAGAGAATAGGTGGAGCCACGGAATCTGAAGTATGAGCCGTAGGGTCCCTCCTCATCTTCTGGTTGTTGTCTAGCACGAGGCTGCCTTGATCCTTCTCCTTCACGAGAACTCGGTGCAACCTTTTTGGATCTCTTTCTCACGGGGTGTTCCTGAAAGACAGTTATATATTAAAAAAAATCCAAACTCCCAAGACAAATAACTAAAACACACAAAATAATATCCATCCTAACAAAACTAATATCGACACATCAGAGTAGTAGTTTTTAGCCAATATATCCAATTATTATCGTAGTAAAGCAATAGTGTATCCAATAGCTGATAAATGATATCCATGTAAACAAATATCCATAATCCCCAGAAAAATAACTAAAACATACATTTAAATATCTACTCTATCCGAACTGATATCCACACACCAGAGTAGTTTTTTTTAGCCAATATATCCATGAAAAGGTATCAGAAACAAAAACTAATCGAGAAACGAAGTGAGAAATGAAACCTGTGGTGGTTGTTCAACATATCGTTCCTCCACCTGCTCAAGATATCATCTGCTGTTGTATCTTCACTTGCTTCCACATTTTCTGGTAAGGGGAAATTTATTCACCTACATTTCATTTCTGCGTTCACTCGATTACTTGGATCTCACGCTTTCTGATGACGATCAATCTTCTTATGGGTTGTGTCGATATCGGTATTCATGTTCACGCTGCCATTACCATATATCGGAGTGGCATCAACCCTGACAAAGGGCTTTGTTGGGGGAGCCATCATCCTTGTTCTAGGCTTGCTCATCTATGCTTGGACACCAAAGCCTCGTCCAGCCAGTCATTCTTCTTCGGCAGCACCAGCTTCCACTCCTAGCTAAGCTGTAAGAACTGTATATCATTCTTTGTTTCTTTTCTGTTGATAGCCGTTGCTCTTCCCAATTTGATAACTTCAACATCAGAAATAAATGGAGGAGGCAAGAGGGTTAGACATATACGAGGGGAGGGGGAAATGGAGAAGCAGAAAGAAAAGGCTGTAAGGAAAGACTAGTTTAGTACTGTAATTCCATCTTGTAACAATGCCACTCTAACTGTCGTTTCAGTGCTGATGCAGAGTACAATATTTGATTTCGAATATGTCGATCGAGCTTGAACATTGTAGATACAGGGGTTTCGAAAGCTCTGTACTTCAGAGAGCAAACAAGTTCTCGGTCTTTGGTTGAATGATCTTGGCTGAAGCCTCTTAGATCGATCACAGCTCGCGAGTTGCGATTGTCAGAACTGGTCGTTGGTTTCATTAGTCAGCTGAAGTCAACGGTGTGTCCATGCTTTAGCTGTAATGGGCTTGCGACGGATGGAGAGGTCATGGGCTCTCTGCATGGGTCGGTGCATTGGGGTACTCGGGCTTGGGCTTTGGATTGGGCTTCCGTCTTTAGCAGGGTGCTCTATGTTTGAGTCTTTGAGACTTTCTGCTTTGTGGAGGAACGTTTGCTGAGGTGGAAGTAACGATGTCTTTTTCTTCATGTATCCTTGTGTTGGTCTTTGGATAGGCCTTTGGAGTTGGCTCGTTTTTTGGCAATTTCGCTATGGTACACACATCAAATTTTGTGTGCACCAACTCACACGGAGGGGAGAGGGCCACGTCGCCCAAGTCAGTAACGGTCGGCCATGATTGAGCGAGTTGGGCGTAAGTGAGGAAAGGGGAAAAGTGAAGCCGGCTGAGCCAAGCCAAAAACTGAAGGGAGGGAAAGGTGATGTGGTCGCCGAGTTGGGGTTTTGAAATTGAAAAAAAAACACAAAAACTGCCTCCTGTCTCCTCCTCCACTCTTGTTCCTTCTCTCTGCTCCTTCTTTCTCTATTCTTCTTCTTTCTCCGTTTTTCTTTCTCTGTTTTGCTCTCGTCGAACCAGAGCAACACAGACCACCCCTCCCAAAAACAAAGAAAAGCGATGAACACCGGAACTAGAAAAGCGCGGAAGAAATCGTCCTTCTCTTGTCGGCAACGAGCAGCCCAGTCGATAACCAGGAGAGCTTCGACGAGGAAGAATCGTCCTTCCTCGAGTTCTTTGTATTTCGGCCGACCTTTCTCGCCTATTAATACCGGTGAGGACGATTCTCTCTGTCCTTTTCTTTCTATCTGTGGGGTTTTGCCTTGAATCCCCCTTTTTGCTTCATTCTTGAGTGTTTATGGTTCACTGAATACGCGTTTAGGTTTTTTTCGGTACACCTTTAAAATTGACTCGATTCTCATGGGTATTCTTCAGAATGTGTCTTGTGTGGGCGAGATATGTGAATTTTTTGTTGACCAAGTTTTTGGGTTCTTGATTAGAATCGATTCTTGCTTAGAATTAGTAAATATGGTTGAATCCAAAAGTAGTTGTTACCGTAACCTTCAATCTGTTGAATACTAGTGATTTGTGGTTTGAAAATTAGTTGTATAATGTTGACTGTGTTGTTGACGAATACTAGTTCTTCTGATTTTGAATATTAGTTGTATAATGTTGCCTGTGTTGTTGACGAATACTAGTTCTTCTGATTTTGAATATTAGTTGTATAATGTTGCCTGTGTTATTGGCGAATATTAGTACTTCTGGTTTTGAATATTAGTTGTATAATGGTGCGAACCAAGAAGCGTGTTCCTGGACCTATAAAACGACCGTTAGTAGATCCTCCTGCTGCTGAAGATGTTCCTCCTGCGTCTGAAGATGTTCCTCCTACTATGAAACGACAACGACCCTTAATAGATCCCCCTTCTGCTGGGAAGCCTAGTGGGGAGTCTTCTAGGAATGCTCCTGCGGGGAAAGCTGCTGAAGATGTTCCTCCTCCTACTACTGAAGATGTTCCTCTTGGTCCAGAAGATCACGTTGCAGCAAAAAGAGTTAAGTTTGCTGCTGGGACGTCCGGTGAGACCTGTGTAGGAAAGTCTGGTGAGACTTCTATTGGGAAGTCTAGGGGAAAGTCTTCAGGGAAGAAGTCTGAGGGAAAGTCTTCTGGGAAAGCTGGGGGGAAGTCTGCCGGCAAAGCTGCTGTGGGAAAGTCTGCTAGGAAAGATGGGGGAAGTCTGTTGGGAAAGGTGTGGTGAATTCTGCTGGAAAAGATGGGGGGAAGGCTGCTGGGAAAGGCAAGGCCAAGAAACCACATGAAACGCAGCATCGATGTCATACATCTTCATTGTTGAGTGTGATTTAATTTTGGAGGAAGGATGAGGCCTACTATGAGCAATGTGAGAAGGAGCTTAAGAAGGCTGGGTTTGATGGATTGCTAGAGATACGCTTGCGCGGCGTCAATAAGTTTCTGCTGTGTGCAATGGCACGACACTACGATGCTATTTCTGGAAGCTTCATTTCGGAGAGGGAGAGAATAGGAAGGTGATGTCCTTAGAGGACGAGGACGTGGCTCGTTTTTATGGCCTTCCTCACGCTGGGGAAGAAATAGTGCTGGAGAAGTGCCTGGACAAAACCAAGTTGTCGGCTTTTCAAGCCGAGATTGGGTTGGGAGGAAACAGGTGCCGGAATTTCCCTCTGAGTGATATGGTGGACAAGTTAATGGATGAGAATGCTAGGCCTCCTGTTCGTAAGACCGTCAAGCAGTTCATCCTGCTTGCCCTTGCCTCGCTTCTCCGACCATCATGGTCACTGATTTGTGAGCTTGATTATGCAGAGTTCCTCGTTGGGAAGATTGAGCGGGTAAAAAGCTACAACTGGTCCGACCTTGTTGTAGCTGAACTGAAAAGTAGCCTTGCTGCAGTTCAAGGAAAGGCATTTCTTGACTGGGTCCATGGAGATGTCCACTTCCTCATTGTAAGTTTTAAGTATGTGTTCTTTTATTTATGTTTTGAATATTAGTTTTATCCTGCTTGAATAATACTTTGAATTTGTTTGAATATGAGTGCGAATGTGCTTGATTATATTGAGTGTATGTTATTTGAATATGACTCTGAATTTTCTGAATATGAGTTTGGGTTATTTGAATATTACTTTGAATGTGTTTCAATATGAGTTCGAATGTACTTGATTCTAGTGTATGTTATTTGTGAATATGAATCTGTTTTTTTAATACGAGTCTGGGTTATTTGAATGTGAGTTAGAATGTTTTTGAATATGTTTATTTGAATATGAGTTCGAATGATTTTGAATATGTGTTCGAATGTGTTTGAATATGAGTCTGGGTTATTTGAATATGAGTCAATATTTTCTGAATAGACTTGGTTATTTGAATATCAATTCAATATGATATGAATACTAATGTGTGTTTCTATGAATATGTGTCTGAGTTGTTTGAATATCACTTTAATCTTGTCTCGCCATTTAAATTCTTTTTTTCTCACCAATCTAACATCTTCCTCTTATTTGACTGGCAGGTCCATTTGTTGGATTCTTGAAGGTCAAAGGTGTTGGGACCTTCATCACTCCAACCTGTAGCTACTGGTTCAAGGATCGTCAAATGAAGGTTGTTGAAGCCATCCATACCATGGGCAGTGGTGGGATAGCAGGTTTGTTGATGACAAGACCAGAAGTTCGATAGAGGTTTGGTGGTCATGTTGGAGATAAAGGGCAAAGAAGCACACAGGCTCCATCTGCTCCTGATGCTCCTGAATTTTACAACTCTTCTTGGTGGGAAAAGGACGACTTGGAGCGCATGGATGAAGATCAGGTACATTTAACTTTTTTTTTTCCGAACATACTAGAGTAAGGTAGATTGCATGAACTAAAACAATTTACACATACTTGTAGCTTAAGGTGTTGAAGTGCATGACTGAGTCCATGTTCAATAAGTGGACGGCACGGCTTGCAAGATTGGAAAACGTGGAGCCCCAATGTGGAGAGGAATGAGTAGCTTTCATGAAATTGGATGTAATAGATATTGAGATTTGGGTAGTTTGAATAATTTGAATACTATTTTCATGTATGTTGAATACTATTTCCATGTACTTTGTTTGGATGATGGACGAATGTTTAGCGTTCTTGTTTGAATACTATTTTGATGCTTTTTTTAGTACTATTTGGATGAGATTGAATAAAGTGTGTTATCAATGACCTAAATACCTATTTTCTGTCTTTTTCTAGCTAAGGGTTTGCCACAGTGTGTGTCTGAATGAGGGGGAAAGATGGCTGGAGTTGACCACACAAATTGGCCACATACTTGAGAAAATGGCTGAGAAGAACAAGCCATCTGAGCAGGATATTGAGGAGCCAACGACGGAGGAGGTTCCTTTGCCCTTTTTTGAGCCTCCTTCGTCATCTGTGGAGCCAACTCCGGCTTCCAAGGGTGTGGCAATTGAGCCGACTCTGGTGTCAGAGGAGACGCCCACTCCGGCGTCTGTTGAGAAGGCCACTCCGACGTCCGTTGATAAGGCCACTCCAGTGTCTGTGGAGAAGGCCACTCCAGTGTCTGTGGAGAAGGCCACTCCGGTGCCCGTGGCGGCTCCATTTACTTACCTGCGAAGAAAACCTGTTCCAAGTACTGCTTCTTTAGCACCAACGGTGGAGGTGGTTATTGAAGGCGATGAGGGGGAGCTTACGACCATACAATGGAAGAGAACGAACATGAAAACTCCGCGCTTCGAGAGGTCGAAGAGAAAGCCAGAAGTATTATCCGGCTATGTCCTCTCCAACACTGTTACTTGCAAGTTGGACCCTTTGCAAAAGGCGATAGTTGAGTTCTAACTTAGTACGAGAGATGAGAACGAGTAAGTATTCAAGTGTTATCCAAACAATATTCATTTTATTATTTACACGTGCGTTTTCATAAAAGTGTGTTAAATACTTTGTCCTTTTTACAGTTCTACGGAATTTGTGGAGACTGCGAAGTGCAAGGTGTGCAGGTTTCGTTTGCTGAGTTTGAAACGTACTGTAAGGCTGAATCGTGTAATTGTTGAGGCATTTGGATACTACCTCAACGACCTGAATGTCACGAGGAATGGGAAGTTGACAAAATGCATCTTCCCTATGGTTTTTGCTGTAAGTAAAATTAGACTTTCAATTCATGTCATGAATAACCACGCTCTTCAATTTCTTTACAAGTTCTTGATTTCAATGCCACACTTGATCGAGATCCAGTATTTGAAACTGCCGACTTTAAAGAATGCAATTATGTGAGTGAACTATTTATGGGTTAGAATATGAGTCTAGTTAATTCTAATACTATTCTGGGTTTTATGAATATTACTTGTTCTTATGCTGAATACTAAATCGGGTTTTATTATCATGTAACGAATGTTCTTTCCAAAATATGAGGACGACCACTACCTGGTTTATGTTGTGGACTTCATCAAGCAACAAACGTTCTTGTTGGACAACATGAAGCCTTCAGAAAGTTATGCCAAGAATGTTCGTGGACCGGAGGCGAGGAACTTGTTCAACTATGTGCAGACATTGCTAGAGAGAAAGGGCGTATAGCTGGAGTCGCCCTTGAGTGATTGGGTGTTCAATGTTCAGACGTACCACAACAAAATGGTAACGACGACTATGGGGTATTCGCTTGCCAATACATGGAGCATTGGGATGGCCACTTGGATGCTGCATACAAAATCATTTGGCGAACCCAAGAGCACGTTGAGCTGCAACGTGCATGGTTGCTGCGAGGCTGGTTTTGTGGGATAAGAATTTGAGGAGGGATGATATACTGAAGTGGGTGAAAGAGTGGAAGGAAGGGCAAGATAGAGGCAGTAAGAGACAGAAGATGTGAGTGTTGGTAGCCTACTAACTAAGTACTAAAAACAACATTTGTGGGTAATTATTTATGAGGGACAGTGAGAAATTATTTTTAGGGTGCAGGTCATGTATGGAGGTGTAATTATTTTGGGTTTGACCTCCCCTAATTAGGTGTTCTAATTAGGTTGAGTCATTATTTTTGGGTAATTATTCATGGGGACAGTGGGAAATTATTTTGGGGTGCAGGTCATGTATGGAGGTGTAATTATTTTGGGTTTGACCTCCCCTAATTATTTGTGAATATGACTCTGGTTTTTATGAATATGAGTCTGGGTCATTTGAATATTACTTCGAATGTGTTTGAATATTAATTCCAATGAGCTTGATTCTAGTGTATTTATTTGTGAATATGACTTTGTTTTTATGAATATGAGTCTGGGTTATTTCAATATTACTTTGAATGTGTCTGAATATGAGTTCGAATGTGAGTGAATATGAGTTAAAATGTGTATGAATGACTTTGAATCTGTTTGAATATGACTTCGAATCTGTGTGAATATGAGATCGGATGTGTTTGAATATGGGTTCGTATGTGTTTGAAAATGAGTTAGTATGTGTTTGAATATGTGTTCGAATGTGTTTGAATATGAGTTTGAATATGTGTGTGAATATGAGTTCGAATCTGGTTGTGAATATGAGTTCGAATGTATTTGAATATGTTATTTGTGAATATGAGTCTGGATTTTTTGAATATGAGTCTGGGTTATTTGAATATTACTTGGATCCAAGTACTATTCGGCCTGCCTTGGTCAAGTAAACACATAAAATGAGAGAGGCCTATCTACACTGGCGGCCCATTACGAAACCCACACTGGTGCAGTCGACTATTTCCTCTCCCGCCTCTGCAGTTCCCTTTCTCCCTTTTCCCATCACGAAACCCATCATTGCCGCAAACCCTTTCTTCTCTTTTCTCCCTTCCACCGTCTCGAAACCCTTTCTTCCCTTTCCCCCTTCCCCCATAGGGAAACCCACGCTCGAGCAGCATAAACAGTGAACCCGAGAGTTCCATGGACCGTGACTACGAACTGCCAGATCGTGCTCTCACACTAAATCTATTCCCTATCACATGTACAACAGATCCGATTGTAGCATGCACACCATTTCGTCTCCTTGACCTCGGGTGGTACGGCGAAATACTTATAGCTAGATTGCTTAAGACATGGGTGGAATATAGAAATGGCAAAACATGGCGCAACCGAATACTACATATATTGTGGCTAGACAAAGAGGTATGTTTGCCAACTAAATCGTTTCATGCATCGTTTGCACCCACAACTTTACCTCGACCCTGCCTTCGCTGTCTTTTCACTGCGTGGTTTCACCTATTACATAGGAAAATTTTCTTGAAGCATGCATTGAGGAAGATGAC